CCTCCCCCCTCCATTTCCTCCGTTCCCCCACTTCCCGTTCTCCCATTCCCCGTCCCCCATTCCCCGTTCCGGGTTTTAAAGATAGCCGGTTTCAGTCTATTTCACGTTTTTCGACAGAGAAGACGATCTTTTTGCCTGTATTCAATCTACAAACACTAAAAACAAGTTTACTAGTCGTATTTTACTCGTATTCTACTCGTATGTACTTGTGTTTTACTCGTATGTACTCGTGTGTTACTCGTATGTACTCGTGTGTTACTCGTATGTACTCGTATGTACCTGTGTGTTACTCGTATGTACTCGTGTGGTGTTTTAGTCACGATCCACTTATATAGGTATTTGCAAATGGATAATTTAAAGCGAATTACCATCTATGTTTCGTAGGAGACTATTGGCCTTTCTATCGTATTTTGAAATAAATTTAGAAATATTTCATGTATCAAAACAATTCCAATCTGAGTTTTTAAATAGGTAATCACACGGAAAGGAGTGCAATTACAGTCGATTTCACATAACTTTCCCTGAGTGTTGCGAACTTTGTTCCCAACTTCGTTGTGAAGTTTTTGAGTTCATATTGAAATTCACAAGCTGGATTGGATATGAGCTTTTAAACTTCGCAACGAACTGTGGAACGAAGTTTGCAACATTTAGGAAAAAATTATGTGAAATTAACTGTAATGATTATAACAGTACGAGTGATTTTTGAAAACTGTGGCAAAATGTGCACTCCTCTTAACCAATCAAATTGCAGTAATTTTGTCATGTATATAACAAAAAGTTTATTAAACTATATATGGAGAAATCAGCACGCCCACCCGGTTCCTTACATTGCTATAGGAGGATCCTGAAGTAGTAAATGGGAACTGAGATTTGCCTATTTGGGACTGGGAAAATGGAATTTGGGTGACTGGGACTGGGAATGAAAGACACAAAAATGGGAACACCCGAATACCGCGATTATAACGACAGTTGTAGTTGGACATTTCAGAGTGAAATAATGAGAATTGGTATATAAATTCCAGGAAACCGAATATGACCAACTTATGGCTCAATGAGGTCATTTTTGTGCTATTGTACGTCAGTCATAAACCTTTTTCTCTGCAAAACTACAGTAGTTCTACAGAGATCAAATGAACGCAGAATTGCGTTTAAAAGTAAACACGTAAATGAACCACCTGCTCTGGGATTTTTTTTCAATTTCCACAGTGGAACTGGGATTTGTTCCTAAAAAGGCTGGGAAATGGATCTAGATCCTCCCTTAAGGATCCTCTTATAGTAATTATTACATTATCCAATCTATACTCTTAAATTAAGACCTTTTTGCACCAGCATGTAGCACTGGTGTCCTTTCTAGTAGATAAATAATGTTTTCTTAACTCCATTATTGTCATTAAAGGAAAACTGAAAGACATTTAAGACAGCGGAAATTGTACAGTTCTTTGAAGAAAGAGCCGACGTGGAGAAAGAAGAACAACAGCGAAGAGAAAATACAAAAATTCTTTGCCATCCCAGAGGAAAATGGCATCAATTCAAAAACATCAATTACCTTGAAGAGTATTAAAAGCATCAGTTCTAGCTCCCTTTCGGAAATCCCGGACACTGGAATTGGAAAATTAGAGGTAGGAAATCATTTTCTCTATAATAAAAAACGAACTTCAGCCATGCAGAGGTGTCACTAAATTGTTAAAATCTTCGAATTCCATTTCATAGGCTCTGCTAGTCTAATAAGATTTCAGGATTTGTTTTCATCACGATCAGTCAATTTCTCAAATAGAATTTAGCTAATTCTAATGCTTTGTTTCCATTTGTTCGCACTGTCATAGCCAAGTCATATTCTTTACGATGTTGTAAAATTGCCTGACTCCTTCCGAAAAAAGTATGCATATTAACGACACATTTATACACAGTTTTTAAAATAGATGTGTTGTGAAAATACATCCTCTTCGGAATAACATTAGTTTTATATTTGCTGAGACTATAATTATCTTTTCTCACGTCAACCTTCACTAGGCCTATATAATAGAAGGTCGTATTTCCATCCGCGTATGCCGTTAGAAATGACTAAACGAAAACCATGAAATTCTGGAATCCATCTCAGGCTTTCTACGCTATAGAAAATATGTAATTATCTAATGAAATGATCAACTAGATAATGAAAATATTAATTAAAGTTATTTACTACTTTGCTGTTTATTCTAAACTCTTGCGAGGAAGTGCTCTCGAAAAAACCAGCAAATTTGAAGACATTTCCTCAAAACTATCAATACATAATTCTTAAGAAGTTTACGCAAATTAGTCCTCTGCATGTATCCGTTTCGTGAACGGACTAACAAATCCAAATTACAATCGATATCATGTGTCAAAAATGAAATCTTGCATTGTCTTCACATTTAGATATATGTTGATGGCCCGTATGGAGCACCAGCTGAGCACTTTTTCGAAGCTGAACATGCAGTATTGATATCCAGCGGAATTGGCGTGACACCTTTTGCTTCCATCTTGCAAACCATTATGTTGAGGTATAAGAGTGCATCACACTCGTGTCCCAATTGCGAACATTCCTGGGTTGGAAATGTACCGTTTTCTTTACGGAAATTACAAAAGGTATAAAATTAATGTTTCATTGCGTTGGGCTAACATTTTTTATCTGCGACTTTCTTTTGATGAGTTAATTCGTAGGTTAATTCAACTGGAATTGGACAGACCAGCCACACTAAAAAATTAAGTTCTCGTCGGCAATATAACAAAGCTGTGAGTACTACATTACAAATCGTTACATTTTTTTAAATTTTCATGTCTAATTACATACAGTTTTCAAAAGGAACGGGAAACTAAGGTAATTAATGACAAAACAAAAAGGGACGAATATTCCTTTAGCAGAGAAAATTACAAATAACAAATTCCTTTCATACTAAAATATTTAATAAAATGAGTAACATTATTTACCATGGGGGAAAATATAAACAACGTTCAAAATGCAAAAACAAAAAAGTTCAGGCCAAGGGCAAGGGGGTTACCAGAATACCATTATACTCAATAATATACCAGTATACCTAAAATTTCTGGATACGTCTGTCTGCCTGAGTGTTAATCTTTGGGAAAATGTATTGATAATTAAATACTCGTATTTCAATCTTTTTACTAATTAAATAGATACTGTATACCAAAGGTAAAATGGTTTAAATTCAAATATACCTGAAAACAATGGCTGAACTTGAAAGTTGCTGTCTCTGTGGCTATTATGCCATCTTGTCTCTGAATTTGTCACCATCCAAAAAAAATTACATTGACGAAGATAATTATGTGACAGGAGAACTGAACAGGACTTTCGTCCCACTTGAAACCTAACCCTTACAATATACACAATATACTATTTGTCTTTACTCAACAATATATACATTATATTTTTGTATACATTTATATACATATACACATATTTGGAAACGACTAACATGACAAAAAGAAGTTCAGGAATGACTATGATTATAATAAACGATTTTCTGTAATAATCTTGTTTATGTTTAATGATTAGATTGTAGTTGTTAATATCATAATTCCGAGATATGTATCTTGGCTCGAAAGTACAAAGAAAATCATTGACATCAGTGAAAACAGTCTTGCTCTGGTTTTAAAAAGAAGCATCAAATCGATTGGTTCTGGCAAGTCTCTCGGTATATGACACATCCGGAGGATAGTTCAGTATAAATTTAGTGGCCCGCCCCTGGACGTTTTCGATTAAGGAACGATACTTAACTGTATACGGTGACCACAAACCTACTGGCGTACTCAAGTTTAGGCCGTACAAGAGCGCAGTACAACAATTTTCTGACTTTCAGATCAGGAAGTTCTTTACATAGCCTTGGCCACAACACTTTCAATGTGCCTTGACCACGACAAATCATTTGACACAGTGACACCAAGATCCATAATGGAAGGAACACAATCCAATGACTGGTTATCAATGGTGACAATGGAGTACACTGCTTCTTCTACCAATGTCTTCTTCCTGGAGATGTTATTTACCTTGCATTTAGACTTATTAAATGCCATTCCCCAGTCCAAACTCCACCTTTGCAAGCAGTCGAGGTCACTCTGAAGATTGTAACTGGAGGTTGAATCGAGAATGGGTTTGAACAGCTTGGAATCGTAAGCAAACAAAGCAATTGTTGAGTTGTACTGAATGTAGTTAGGGACATCATTGGCGTATAAAACAAACAACAATGGACCGAGTATAGAACCTTGTGGTACACCAGACGTGACAGGAAGCCAGTCAGAGATTGATCCGTCTAGAACAACTCTTTGGTACCTATCTGTGAGGTAACTACCAAACCAAGAAAGAAGAGATCCGTTGATACAATGATGCTTTAGTTTGAGTAATAGCAAGTTGTGAGGGACTTTATATCAAAGGCTTTTGATAAGTCAAGATAGATTACATCAACTTCGTTACCGGATGCTACGGAGTCCAGGATGTCATGGTATACTTCTAGTAGTTGCACAGGAGGCCCAGGCTCGATTTGCCCGCGCCCGCCTGTGCCTTCCTTATAACGAGGGAAGGAAGGAAACATTGAGACCAAAATAGCCCAGACTGGCATATGTCACACGAAACTATCCTCGATTTTTCGCCTTTAATGTATTTCTTTCACAATTAATCGATATCCCCTGCAAGAATGATACCGTATAACTCTCAAAACAACGATGCTTTAATCAAAGAGCTTAAATTCGCTCTGAAATCCGTGAGGGAATAACAAAATTCGCCCAAAATATATCCGCGTGCCGGGTTTGCTGGACAAAAAGCGGAAGTCGTTGAACAACTCAAAATACACTCAACCCTGATTGGACAACGAAAATCAACAAATATTTCAAATTTCTGTAGTCAGTAATGTAATCTAAATTTGAATCAAAACAATTAACAAATGTTGTCGGGGGAAAACCAGGCAAATCTAAATATTTAAATTTAAGAAGTTTAGTCAGTATAATAACGTTTGTGAATTGTTTTAATTCAAATAATCAAATTATTACAGTACTGTTCC